AGAAAAGGAATAGGGGAATTAAATTGACCAAACTGTGTTATGGCTGGCATGAATACATCACAACACATTCTACCTTTATGTATTGTTATAATGTATCAGCTACAAATAAATGTTAAAAAGATCATTAAATTTTAATATAATTATAAATGGTAATACACATCATTCTATTTCCTTTAGTAGATAAAATGTTGTGTTGAATTGTGCCTCTCTATAATCATGAAACCATTGTAGTTACCGTGTCCAGCCTTATTTGTAGCTAAGAGAAAAGGTTTAAAATATGTTGCCTTTAGGTTAGCAAGTTGAAAATAGGTTAGCAAGTTGAAAATAATTAAAAATGAACTTCATAAACCATGGAATTCAATAGTACATCTGATATTTTATACACTAAAAGAACAAATGCAAGGAAATGTGTGAAATAAATTTGTGTAAATCACTTTAATAGACTTCATAAACATTGTACATTATATATAATTTTATTTATTTTGCTTATTATTCATGTTCGAAAATGGAGTTTCTAATTATTATTGGAAGTATTAGAAATACAAAGTGATTTGACATCTTAATGTCTCCAGTATTTATTAGGGAATCATCATGAAAATATTTGTTTTTTTAATTCAATTTTAGATGCTTAAACATTTCTTTCTTTTTTTTATGCCCACCATGATAAATATCAGATAGTTTCCACAGCTTCTGGGAATTTTCAAATATTAAGAGAAACAATCTATTTTCCATTTAATAGAAGACCTTAACTTCACACCCAGGGTGAGTTCTATGTCTTTCTACTGTTTCTGATTCTCTGAGTCTGGATTGGGGTGGGAAGAAGAGAGATAAGGGGCATGATAAGTATGCTGGAGCAATCATAACTTCACAGCCAGTGTCCTCCGTGATGACAGGAAGCTGGGTCCTGACCCTCTATCCTAGGGTACATGCATGCATGGGGTAGTCAGAGACACATCTCAAAAACTTGAGGTTTCTGTTGTTCCTTCAGCTGTGTGGCATGTTCTTTGGATGACTGGTTTAAGCTTCCTCCAAGCATCTACCATCTGTGCAACCTTTCTACAGAAGCAATCATTTAATCTGCGGGAAATTTATGCAGCTTTGCCTGGTTGAAGACTGGGACTTGCATTGTCCCCAGCTATCATTGTCCCCTTCCCTGCCAACTCAAAATCAGTCAGCCTTCCTTAGAGCTCTCTGGGTTCAAAAGGCAGCAAAACATTCTAAGTTTCAAAGTACTACCTTGTGATTGAGATGTCAGTAGCTCCTTTTCCAGAATATCACAGTTCTCATTGGTGGATTGAAAGATAGATACAGACATATCTGAATATATAAAAGGTCACAGAGTTCTTTTCTCCATTTATCTCATTAGCGTCCTTGCCTTTCAACTCTTTGATATCGAATACCATTTCACAGCAGATAGGAGAACCTGAAGCTACTTTGTGGGTTTTCATTAGCCTCATGCACTTATTACCAAACTGTACTCCACAATATGAAACAGAGTTTTAACCAGCGGCACACTTTTTCATGGTACTCACACTTCATTGAAACTTGTTCACATGAAGCTTGCTACAGTGATTAACAAAGAACTTGTTTTGACAGAATAGGAAAACTCCATCAACTTTACCCCCACCAGGTATTTTATTAATGAATTCAAAGGAGCTGAAATGTCAAATTCCTAAATTCTTAGGCAGATTTTGAAAAACAATTGCTGTACTCGATAACTATCTTGAAAAATACTCATGTATTAAGTAATTCTATATCACTATTCCACATTAATATGCAGTGAAAATCAATAGAATTTCTATACATGACTAAATAAAATAGATTGGGATTCATTACTATTTTCAGTCAAGAAATATTTATTGCTTATTTACTATGTGCCAGAGACCTTTTTAGACAAAAGAAAGGAACAAGACTGATTCCTTTCCACATACAGTTTACTTTTTAATAAGGAGAGAGATAATTAATCATATATTATATTATGCTTATTATACTATACTATGTTATATTATATGTGATTTGATTTTTAAAAAGCTAAAGCAAGTGTCACAAGGTTGAACAGTGTTCAATAAATCTTTCTGAGGAAGTCACATCTGATCACTGAATGTAGTGTGAGAATGAAAAATACAAGTGTTTGGGAGAAGATTGTTTCAAGCACAGAACAAGAGATTGAAAGAGTAAATTACGAGTTGGGAAGAGAAAAGAGAACAGACCTCATATGCAGATAAAAGAAGATAATATGTGATACATAGGTCAGGTCAAAAGTTGATTTATACTTTGAGTGTGCAGTGAAGGCACATACTACATCACCACATACTAGGAAATAAAGGGGTTCCCATTCTAGCAGAGCATATCAGCCATGATAATGACTCCCTATTATTTATGGAGTGTGCATGTTTTGTCAAGCACTGATTTTGGGGTTTGTTTTACATATTTTATTGTTTATTCTGTTTATTCCCCCTCATGTTGAATAGCCAGACAAGACTTTATTTTTTTATTTTTTAGCTTGCAAACTGAGGTCTAGAAAGATCAGGCAGTTTGACAAAGTTCAAATGATTATTGAAATAAAAGGGACCAAATTCAAACTTACTTCTGGGAGGCTCAAGTACATGCAATGCATAAACTATATTTTCTGATGCCTACAAAAAACTTTAAATGTTTTCTTACTTTAACTATTAGTAATTTAAAGCTTACCTATAAAACTGCATTTTCCTTCTGGGGGCTATTTCAGTACTATGGGAATTATCTACAAGCATCTACATTAATTCAGACTTTATTAAAATTTACAAAAAATGGTCATGATTTAAGCTTAAGAAACAGCTATATGTGTGCAATATCAAATGACCAGATGAAAGACAAAAGTTACTGAAATACTATGAGTGTAATTTCTAGGAATTTGTAACTTCTCTACTAGAATTGGACAGCCTTATTTGATATGATTAAAAGTGACAATTTGGACAGGTGCAGATGCTCTTTTCAATGAATCCTGTGGTTGACAATCCTAACATCAACTAATCCAGAACCTGCTTTAAGACATCTACTTAGTGTTACTGAACACAAATATCATATCTATTCTTGTAGATATTGCATCCTTTTTATAAGTTGTTATTCCAAACACACCAGCCTTTCATCCAGGGCAGAACCAACTGTAATCCCCACAGACCTCATTTCTGCATTTCTGTTTTTCCAACCTGTTTTCCATGGATTGATTCATCCGTTGTTTATCACACTTTCCAGTTCTGCAGCCAAGATGACATCACCCTGCTTTGTGAACATGATGAGCAAGCCCTCTTGAAGCAAATCACCATCATTGCCCTAAGTACACTCCTGATTTCTATGTAAATATGATAGAAGTACAAGCTTTCTATCAATTGATACATTGCTATTCTACTTACAAGTTTTAGCTTTTAAAAATAGTTGTGTTCAGCGTTTTTTATGTTTTCCTTAGTTCATAATGATGCTAATGCATTTGAATTTACTGCATCTTCTATCTTCCCATTCAATTATAATATCTTTTTAATTTGTTATTTTTCTTATCTGATTTTCTCATCCTTTTGTAAAGTAACGATATTGGTGTCACCAACTTAATGATTCTCAGATCCTTATGATAAAAACAAATTCTTTAATTATATAATATGGATGTTCAAGTTTCAAAGTCTAGAGGGAAAATGCATAAATATTCCATTACCCTACCAAAACTCAAAATTACTTGAAATATTTGATTTTGATTTAAGAATCTATTGCCAATTTGGTTCAGATCAGTCTTACATGCTATTAATAAAAAAAAGGTCATATGAAGCATTTTGAAGAGCACCATATTTGGTGCTTTAATTTCAAACTATAATTTTTGAAGTCCATCTTGATTTGGATATCATAAGGGCCACTATTTACAAGTTGATGGAAATTAAAGTGTTGTATTGTCTTATAGTATAATATTACCCTAAAGTTTTATGCCAATGGCTTAGCATTTATTTCCTTTACAATACCACAATAAATGTAATTATTGCACCTAATTTTCTATTTTGAAAAAAATGGCACTGAAGTCAGTTATATTGCAAGCTGTTAATAGAAAAGGAAATGCTGAGAATCATATCACACTTTGTAATATGAGTGGTATGAGTCTGTGATTTATTATAATATTTAGAATAAAAAGAAGTTCAAATTTGCATCAAAATGAATCCTTTCACTTATTTCTCATTTTTAGTAGAAATAAAAATTTATTTAATTTTTTCACACTTTATACCAGTTTTATAAAGTTCAAATTTAATGATAAGTAAATGTTGACATGCTTTTCACCATTGTATTTTGGCATGATAAAAGTATATATTCGGTTGCATATGAAAATAATCTATGAAAAATTCCAAAGCATATTTTCCTGCACCTCTTTAATGTCAAACTATAATATCCATAACAGCACAAACTTATAATATATAAATCTGAGTAATTCATTTATTTCAAATATATGTACAAATTTTAAATGAGGTTTAAAGAGCCTTCTTGGCAAGAATTTTAAAATATCAAACCCAAATGATTCATAGAATCTTTCACAGTCCCGCTTATTAATGTAACATAAGTTTTTTTACATGTCTATATAACCATCAGATTCTCCAGATGATAAATTTTATCTCTCTATATCATCAGGAACGTCACTCATCCATGCTTTATTCTTACTTTGCGGGAATAAAATAATTAAATGAATGAAACAACATTGGAGGGCCTGATTCTCTTTCTCAGGTTAGGCAATAAAACACTTTGAGAATCTGCCCTGGATATAATGGAACCTTATGAGGAACATTGCAGTCATGAGGTGGCACTGGCTTGCACTAGCATCTGAGGTCTATTTATGTGCATCTCTTCCAAAATTTTTCTTTAAGGACAATGTACTCCAAGGACATCGGAAAACTACAAACTCAGGCTCACCACGCTGCAGAAAGCCAGACCACACAACGCATTTTGCTCAAATGGACATTAGCACTTTGGGGATTTTTTTATGGTAACAAGTCCTAATTGTTGGAGTGCACTGCAGAACCAAACATGCATGCTAATCTTTTAAATCGAGGTCCCAGCTCATTAAGATAATCAAAATTTTCATCCCGGTCGGTGTCGGCTGACCCTAAGGAGCTCAGGGAGCCGGCCAAGGACCCCAAGCCCTCGAAGGCGTAGGTCTGAAGGGAGTCAAAGGGTGGGGCACAGGGGTCCGAGTCCGCCTCCTCCAGCTTCTCCAGGATGAATTTCCTGAAGAGGGCGCTGTCGGGGCCCACCTGCAGAGACTGCCTGTAGAGGCTCCGGATCTCCGCGGAGGTGGTCTTCCGAGCCCTGCGTTCCCGCATCACCGTGGTGCTTCTGAGCTCGGCAATGTCGAAGGCCTCTGTGTCTTCTTCTCCACCTCCTTCATCATCATAGCAGAAGATATTCTCTCCGAAGACGTCCCCTTTCTCAGGAAAGAGGATCTGCTTTCTTTGTTGTCTTAGAGCCAACATCAAAAATACAAACCCTGATGAAGAAAATGTATCAGAATATGAATGAACACATACAGAGCATAATAAACTTCACAATCCTTGAGCTTGTTACAAGCTCCAGACACAACCTTGATTTTGAAGATAACGTGACAGAAAATATTTTAAAACTGGACTTGCAAAATGACATAAGGAAGAAGATAACATTCTGGCTGATGACTTAGAGGTGGAAAACACTGTGAAAATACATTGAACTGTTTTCTGTGAACAATTTAGAATTCAAATTTTACTTTTCTCAAATATTAAAATGGAACCAAGAAGATTAATGGAGCATTTTTCCAATCTGAATACAATTGGCAAACTTAGTGACCAATGAGTCCACTTAAAGTAAGTTCAGACAGGACAGTTTGATATTCCACATTAAGGGGAAATTCTGTGACATGATTATTTTCTAAGTTGGTATTTATTGACCACAAAATATATGCCAGTTTCTTCTAAAAATTATATTTATTGATTGATTTAATTCTTATTAAATTAATATATATGTTATATCCCTTTAAAATGAGAAAAATAAAGCCTAAAAGCATTTAAATCACATCCCCAGAAGGACCCAGCTGGGAGACAGAAAGGTCATCTTCAAATTAAGAAAGTTGTTTCAGAGCCTGGGCCCCATGATACCACATTAATTTCAGAAACTCCAAACTATCTTGCATTTGAATCATAATACTGGTTTGTGCCGATCAATATTTATTACATAAAATAGTTTTAGCAAAATGTAGAAACGGAACAATTTCAGAACACTTTTTAATTAGAAGAAAAACTGTGTGTGCACATGCACGTGCATGCTTGTGTGTGAGTGTGTGTGTGTGTGTGTGTGTGTGTGCGTGTGCACATCTAAGCTAACCAACCTTTCTGCATCCTTGGATTTACATATCTTTTCAGCACATCAGAGATAGGATTTGAAACACATATCAAGGAATATTAGAATTTTCACAAAGATAAATATATTGGGTACTATTTTATACAAAAAGAAAACAGTGAGGAGTCTCAGGTTAGTAAAATTAGAAATTAAAGATGAGGCATCATAACTGATATCAGAAAATAAAGGATAATAAAACATAAACTATCACAGACCAAGTAATTGGAATTAATAGATAAATTCCTAAAATATATAGCTACCAACACTGTGCCAAGGAGAAACTGGAAATCAGGACAGAAAAATAAGTAGTAAGCATATTGAATCAATAATCAAAATCTATATTAAAGTCTAGGATCTCATGGTTTCAATGCTGAATTCTACTGAACAACTGAAGAAGTAATTCCAGTACATCTCAAAATCTTCTAAAAAATTAGGAGAGGGAATACTTCCAGATTCATTTTATGAGGCTAATAACACTTTTTGATACTGAAACCAGACAAATATACTGCAAGAGAAGAAAACTACAGACCAACATCACTGATGAACATAGATGCAAAAATCCTCTAAAAGGGTTGGGGAAGCAGGGAGGACAGGGAAGGTGGCCACAACCACTGTTTCTTCATAAGGTTACTATGAAGATAAAATTTTGTAACACATGCTGAGCACGAGGACTATGTTCTGGACAACAGAAGTGCCCAATTGTTCTAAAGTATTTTTATATCTTATATTTGTGCAATGCGTATGTCAAAACATTTATAAACTGGCACACATACACATACTCTTAAAATTGAAGGGTCAGTGATCTTCAGTTTGAAATGTGGATTTGCCCACTCTGTTTTTCATTTACTCTATTTGGTTTTAAAATTATAATACATTTAGAATAGCAATTAAACCATACTGCTGTAACATAATTATATATTTATCATGTTACTTTAATAAGTGGAGATATGTTCAGTTCAGCACTACTTACCACATATTACCATAATGAAGATCAGAATAGCAATTATTACTTCCACCCTGAGTCCCAAGAAAAGCACGAGTTTTTTATCACTGCAGGTCTGTGTATTCCCACTGTCGTCACAGTCACAGACATGTATGGTAAGTGTGTTTGTACTTGTAAGTGATGGAATCCCGTTGTCCGCAATTAAAATGGTTATGAAGAAGTTGGGCTCTTCTTGAAGGCTAAAATCACTTCTATTAGTCAAAATTGTAGCTGTGTTATCTAAAACAAGATACTAAAATTTATCAACAACATAAAATAAATCAATCCATCTTGTGTATTAGAGCCACTACTATATAGATATGATTAAATAAGTTCAAATAAAAGAGAAAATTTTGATTAAAAGACAACTTGAAGGTTCCCTGAAAATTAATTAATGCTTTGACATTACCTAATTGTGAAATGAGATGAATTATTTAAATCAGTTCCAAAACGTTTGTGAGAAATATAGAAAATAAAAGCAGAGCAGAGCAAACATTTCTATACATATGAGCATTTATAGGGGTTACTGGCATTAATTTTATGCAGATGCTACCAGTTTTATTTGGATCAATTGCACTAATACTGCTTTTTCTAACATCTAGAGCCCATTATTTTCATACATCCTAGAAATACATAGATTTTCTATTATATAACTATTAAAGCATGTGATCAAATAGTAGGTTTTCTAAATAGAAAAAGGAACTGATTTTACTTTTAGGGAAAGATAATAGTAGGATATCTCATTTTGACTTCACTCATTTTATTTTTAAAATTCAGAGAATCTTCAATTTTCATCTAGAGAAGACACTCAAAATATTAATGAAAATGGCCAACACATACTCAAAATGTAAAGTTGTTTTTCCCCAAGTCCCAAGATATTCTGAATGATGTTTGTCAATGTGATTCTTTGGGTCTTAGATCTATATTTCCTCTGTTTTTTTTTTTATTCAGAATACTTTTGCCATACCTAAGTATGTTCTGAATCCATCAGTCTGCTTTATAAGATGATGATAGTAAAGTGCAAATAAATGAAATCTTCTTGAAATGCATATGTAGTTAAAACTTTTTCCAACTCATCTTTTCAATGCTAAAAAGATAATGCTCTTGAAGTCCATAAAACCCATGAAATTTATGTACGAGGCAGATTTAAGTGGTGAGACACAGTTCTCATCTTTTCAATTCAATGTGTTTTATTACCTTACTTGGGACTACAAACATTAAACCAAACTTGTGTTCTTTAGGTTTTTCTATATTTATTTTGTCTCAGTAATATATTTTGAATCATTATAAAGATGTATAAGACATATTATATTTGATACTTATGGGATTTTTTTTCTAAATATATTTGAACTACTTTCACTAAGAATTTGATACAAATAAAACAGAGACATGTGTCTGTGCCCTCTCCCACCAAAGGCACCTCTGAATCAAAGACTGGACCCAGTGGTGGGGAGGAACGGCTCAGGTATCTGGTCATAGATATTTGAGTGGCTTATATATTTGAAGTAAAAAGAAAGGTTTAAATAGAAATCTATATTATGGCCAAATAGCTCTTCCTAAAGCAAATTTAATAAGAACAGAATGGCCTTCTATAATTAATCCACTGCTACACAAAAGGAAGAAAAATTCTTTCTCTACCCAAAATCCTTCCAGAATATTTTATCTTTGATTTATAAAATAATTTGGTTTAGAGGGAAAAGAAAAAAAAACGACTTTCATATATTTATAACTCCTTATTGATGACTTTAAATATTTGTGAATCAAAAAAGCTCACCTCACAGTACACTAAGTGTATTTTCTCTTCAGACAAATACTGAAGATTAAGATAAGAATGAACAGCTAGGGTTGTGGCTCAGTGGTAGAGCACTTGCCTAGCACATGCGAGGCCCTGGCTTTGATCCTCAGCACCACATTAAAAGTAAATAAGTTAAATAAAAGTATTGTGTCCAATTACAACTAAAAAAATAAATGTAAAAAGAAAAAGATAACGAAGGAATCGAGAATCCAGGACTGCAATGAAGTTTGCCGGGTCAGACAGAAAAGGGCTTACAGCCCTCTGTGACTTTAAAAAACCACCTCTAATTTGAAAAAAATGCAGTGAGAAGGAAGTGTGACCAGTATTTTCAGAACTTGACACTGAGGTTTTTTTTTTTTTTTACTTTTCTTATTATTACTCTTTTGCTTTATTTCTTGACATTATGATATTAAAAACAGTGTGAAAAACAATGCCTCAAGTTCCATTAAAATTAAAAAAAAACGATTTATGAAAAATGAGTCAAAATCATTATGACTGAATGGTGTTACCTTGATTATCTCTGATTGTGAAACTTGAGTTGTTTGTGTCTTCTGCAGAGAGAGTGAAATAAAAGTGGTGGTCTTCTATGGATTCATCTCTGTCTACTGCGCTGATGGTTTGAATCACCTACGAGAAGACAGGGATAGACTTTTATCATTGCTGTATTGATTCAGGGCAATTATCAATGCTATTATTATTTTCAGCTTTTATTAAGTACTTTAGCCAAATAATTAAAGACACTACAGATGGTAATTGTCAAATCATGGAGAAGATTAAACATTTTCTTAGGCAACAATAATTTGTATGTTGTGATTTCTAAAGAGGGTTATGACTTTTACATAATACATTCTCATAAATGGATCATGTGGATTCCAGAAGCTAAATTTGTTGGAAGTTCTTCAAACATTGTTGCTATATTTTGACATCATCTCTTACCCTCCTTTCCTACATTTTCCCTTTCCTTCTTTCTTTACTTCCTTCTTTATTCTTACTTCTTCTGAAATCCAGTCATTATGACTTGCTGAATTTATACATTTCCTTTTTATACTGAGTGCAAAACGGGTAGAGTTATTGTCTTACTAAAGTATTTGCTAAAGTAATGAGTTTTTTAATTGATTTGAGGGAATAAGGCATTTAAAGCTTAGGGGCAATGTATATGATTTCCTTTGACCCATAAAGATTGTAAGAAAAGCGTTTTAAATCAACAAATTGCATTAGCTTCACACTGTTCTTCATGCATGTAGAGAGAAGTCTGTTATTTGAAATATAGCTTCATAAATTTGTATTTGCCATCATGCAACTGAGGATGGTTTTGTCTGACACATTGTTAAAAGCACTTTAATTATAGAAAAATTAAAACACTAGCTTCTATACTCAATTTACTTCAATTTTCAGAATTAATCACAATCTCACTATGCTATCTTGACAAGCATATCTTTTTTTGACAATAATGAACTACTTGACTGACACATTCATGTTTTGAAATAAAAGAATTAATTCAGAACTGATGTGTTCATATCTGCATTACTTCACTGTTTTATGATCTGAGATAACAAAGGACAACATTAAAATTTCTTCACTGAGGATATTCATTTTTCCTTTCAAAATAACAGTGAAAAGGACTTTGTGTTCATTTTTCAATAAAATTCTAAGAAAAACCTGTTTGTTACATTGCCCAGAGGTCTAAACGATTTACTTACGTTGACTAACTTGGGACCCATTTCTGCCCTTCTATATTTATGAGAGAAGCAAAGACAAGTTTAAAAGTTAACAACATACAACAAGCCACCATGATTAAAAAGACTGGAAATAGAGGCAATCGAATAATTCCAAATTACAACAAATGTCAAGAGCTCACACTTTTAATTTTCTCCTTTCTCTCTGGGTAGAATTTTGCTCCATTTCTTTCTCATATACTACATTCAATTTCCTATCTATAGTACGGTGAACTCTATGATGGAAATATATTGGGCCAGCCTAGAGAGTCTTTTAATAGGGATTCATCAATGGATTCAATGCTATTCTATATATTATTTCACCTAATCTTGCCATAACCCTTTTGAATAAATCTTGTTATTGACCCCATTTAACCTTGAGTTTTATGTAAGGAAAGGGCTGGCTCAGAATGACAATGAGATCTCATGCTCAGATGTTTTGAGATAGAGATTTACATGAGGATTCTCAGGCACATGGCTCTTTCCCTGGGTTTGCTGCTGGATATAAAGTTACTGAAAAAAGAAATGGAACAGAGAAGGCCAACCAGGACATTTCTTATGTTAAAGACAGAGACATACAGAGAAATGTATAATATAACATTTATAATATACAGAGTAGATATAGACCAAAAATAATGGTTAAAAAGCAAGAAAATAATCTGAGGTTTCCTGTGAAAGACAGGGAAGTATTTTTAGGCCAGAAGTAGAGCGAGTGAACTAACTCTTGAGTAAAACATGAATTAATGGGGAAAGTGTCACCCAGACCAAATGCTAGCCCTTGAAATCCAAGAGGGCAGAGATATAATAGGTTTGAAGTAAATGAGATTAACGTTTGTGGGTCAAAGATGGTCTAATATTGGCAGTTTCATAAGTTGCCGCTTAATTATTTGATGGAGTAAAAATAGTGTTTGACTCTGAAGATAATCACGGGAAGAAAGATAGTCACTGCACTGTGTATTTTTCCAGAGAAGAGGCATACGTAGGACCACTTACTAAAATGTCACTCCTAGCTTCATTATCCTCGTTCGAAAAGCACAAATTTTTTGACAACTACACTAAGAAGCTGCTATTGTCTCCAACAATATATTTGAGTCTGTTTCCTTTTCTTGCAGATCGGCTACCAATAAAACCTACTTTTAAAATAAGTCTAGGAGTAAATTGCTAAAGATTATAAAATATAAATCGAATCAATACACAGAAAATGAGTAATAATTTGCATAAATTAATTTTATAAAATGCACTTATTAAGCAATGTTCCTCAGTACAAAGATGTCAAAGAAAAAGTAGGAATTGCAATAAATAAATGACATAGTTTTTTTTTAATTTCATCTGCCTTTTTGATTATGTATATATTCTAGCGATTTGTACCTTGCAGTAGGCTAAAGATGCAAATTCTTTCCCATTGTCAGAAAAACACTATTCATAAATTTGAATTAGACCATCACCTTCTGTACTAATTTATTGGGAAAATGATTATAAAATAGACCCACTCTGACAAAAATAATCTATAGAACTCAAAAGAATTTAAAAATATCTGTTCAAAAACTCAAAGTAAAAATTAATACAGTAATAATAGTTGAGCCAACAAGAAAATATGAACAGTAGTGTTTTTGCTCTAGTTTTGCCTGGTTAGCAGTTTACTGGGAAAACATTTTTGAGAAGTTCATGGTAGTATTATATTCTGGTCCTAGACAGAGACAGAGAAATACCCAATTTCCCAAAATGAATCTCACAAAATTGGATTACATACTTTTAATGGCAATTTTCTTATAGAAATAAATCTATGTTTGGTTAAAAATTATATATTATATATTCTTAAAATTTTATCTTAATGTATAATTTCAATTCCCTTTAGGATAATTTCAAACTTTATAAATGTTATACAAAATTAACATATGAATGAAAACTACTAAAGTACAAAAATATCTGATTAATGTCTTGATATAATCATTTGATGCCTATTCCACTGGCAAGAACATGCCAAGTGCTTCCAGACCCTGGGCACGTACTGCCTGTCACTATGGTTCACATTTTAGTGGAGGAGAGAGAAAAACAGAACTACAAACCTGCAAAGTGTTGAGGAAGTACTTGAAATACATAAAACACCTAAAGTCCATAATGCTCAAAATAAATAAGATCAGAGGACCTGGGACATACACTGAAATTAGAAAACCTGCTGCAGAGTGAGTCTTGTGTGCATCATGAAATGTTCTAAGATGGCATATTACAGAGTTCAGACTTCATACTGAACATCACAAGTTCTGAATCGGGGAAAAGCATGATCACTCATTTTTATTTGGGGTCCTGTGACCCATGGAAATTAATTAGTTTTTTAAAAACTCTTTCTGAGCACATTTTTAAAGCAGGTATGAAAAAACTGTTGTCATGATACCAGGGACCCACTGATTATTATTGAATACTTCCTGATAAGAGATCTAAAACGATGCTAACAATCAAAATCATAAGATTTAAGTTATTTATAATAAGAAACATACAGAAATTAATGAAGTGTTTACATGAATTGAGAATACTCAACATAACTCCAGATGGAGACAGAGCTTGTGAGTCCCACAGTTTCCCCTTGGGTATGCTGTGCTTCACATGATGTCACCAAAGCAATATTTTTTTCCCCATTTCCAAAGGGACTATGTATTCTTTTGGCCATTGAACAACCACTGAAATATGATTGTCCAGGAACCTGTCTTCATGTGTACAGCCTTGCTTAAAAAATATAATTAAAAATATATAATTAAAATATAACTAAAACATAATTAGCAAGCATTGCCATGTACATGGTGTGAGATTAAAAGAAGTAAAGTTTGATATTACAGGATCATCCCTTTTCATAACTATCTAAGAAGGATCCACTTCAGAAGAGATGTTAGGTCCTAGGTAGTGTAGGATATGTGAGAAGAAAACAGAAATTGACATATGAAAGACAGGGAGAAGATGGAATCAGTGGAACTTGGTGATTTATTGCATCTGGAGAATGAACATAAGAGGAAGTAAGGATGATGTCCATATATCTTTCATGCACATCTTGATGAGTGTTAATATTTTTGCTAGGAGTATTGAGAAAAGGAAGAGTTGAAAGCAAACAATATAAGCATAGTAAAGTTTTTTAGTATGTGATTTTGATCATTGATTTTAGCACGAGTTACAACAGTTCATTCTCATATTTATTATGTGTGAAATTTGACTTATTTCATGGAAATGCAGAAATTTGGTTCAATTTTATCAAAGAGCTTTCTAGAATGCAACTTTTGTGTTATTAATAAAATGATCATTAGTGAAATTAATAATATAATTACATAATGGAAAATTTTAATAAATTCAAAATATTAAGTTTTGCTATCTTTCTAAAAACATTATGTTTTTAGATATTACCTTTTAATTCTTCAGACCTTGTTCTTAATAATAATTTACATATTGTTACAACCATATTTGTAATACTATTTGTGTTGAAATTAATATGTGCAAATGTCTAATTTCATATTTTTTTTTCTTTTTCCATAAATAAAGCTACTTAAAATAGTTTGGAGGGCTGGAGTTGTGGCTCAACAGTAGAGCTCTCTCCTAGCACGTATGATGCACTGGGTTTGATATTCAGCACCACATAAAAATAAACAAAAAAATAAAGGTATTGTGTCCAACTACAACTAAAAAACGTATATTAAAAAAAAAATAGGCTGGAGGTCCTTCCTTTATTTTGGGAAAGTTTAAATCCTATGATGATATTTGCAACTTATATTTTGGACATATTCATGTTTACAGTTCTCTTGACTAAGATATCCCTTAGGATTTTATATCATACGCTCTAATAATCTTAATGGTCATTGCTTTAATTCTCTCTCCTTTGGTTTTTTTTACAGCATTACTTGAATATTTTATTTTGTTTCATTTCAACCTAAT